CTTTCTCACCAGGCCCTCTAATGAGACGGGTGTTTAACCCTGCCTCTGATAAATGGCTCCCTCCAAGCAGAAGGGGCTGCAGAGGATCAGCATCCAAGACACTGAGCAGCCCCCGGTGTTAATTAACCCCCTGCAGGCAGATCTCTGGTTTACGTGGCTGCCATCGGGTGAGCCCTGGCTGAGAGCCCTTCGCTTGCTGCCTTGCCAGCATTTAGAAGAGCCCTTGGCAGCTCTGCCCCACCAGGATGGCTTTCCTTGGGAGCAAATTCAAGCGGCTTCACCTGCTCAGCTGCAACGTTGCATGGGGGCAGAGAAACTGGGAGGCAGCTGCAGTGCACCGGAGAGCAAGAGTTGGTCTGTGCTCTCTTTAGAAGTGAACTCCAGTCCTGCTTCCCTTGTTCTAGCCTCTTTTTTTTTTTTTTTTTTTCTTTTTTTTTTTTTTTTTCCTGGATTTGTTATTCCGTAGGAAAATCAGGCCTGAGAGGCTGCATTCCCCACATGGCATTGGCACTCGCTCTTTTTTCCTTTCATTTGATTCCTCTTTTCCCAGACATAAATCAGAATACTCTGATTTCTCTCCAGAGCTTTCCCCTCCGCTGCTTTTAATATATATTTTAAAGCACATTTTAAAACGTTCATCATCACAATTGTAAATCCTGACATTAAGGCTGGAAGGCTGAACATTATCCTAACAGAGCCTGCCCCGACTGCGGAGGGTTTTGGAGATGCCAGGCAGGGCAGTTGGTTTGTGGTAAGGAGATAGAAATATTCAACGTGCGCCACTGAGATCAGATCTGAACAACGAATAGCAGGATAACAAGCCTGGTCCAAACAAATTTAACATCTTTTTGAGAAAATAATCTGTTTTGCTGTCTCGTTTAAACATTAAAAGCCTGGCAAAAGGGTACTCTCTCTGTACAGTAAATTGCCTCAAGTCCAACACAAGGTAACAACACCAGGCCACAGTCATCAGACCTGGTAGGTCAAAGCTTTGCCCAATATCAGGATGCGGCAGTGGAGGGAAAAAGCCTCCAAAACTAGGACACGAGGAAACAGCCTCAAGTTATCCCAGGGGAGATTTAGATTTGATAGTTAGGAATAATTTCTTCCCAGAGAGCCCACTGGAATGGGCTGCCCAGGGAAGTGGTGGGGTCCCCATGCCTGGAGGTGTTCAAGAGACGTGTGGACGTGGCACTGAGGGACATGGGTTTGTGATGGGACTCAGGTGAGGCTGATGGTTGGGCTTGGTGATCTTGAAGGTCTTTTCCAACCTAGGTGATTCTGTGATAACCACGTTTCCTAAGCTTTCTTCTAATGCCTTATCCAGTCATTCTGAGCGGACCAACAGCCCAAATTTTCACACGCTGTGCAGTCAGGAAGGTGATATCGGTAACATCTGAAGAACACGTCGCCTCGAGCTGCACGGGAAGGCCAGCGTAGGGTTAGCGATTTCCTGTGCCTATTGCAGTGCTGTGGGAACAGACCTGGGAGGCTGGGAAACAGAATTAGGGAGTCAGCCTGGGGCAGTGGGCAGGAAATGGGGCTGGGAGACACACTCGGCGTGAAGCCCTCCTGCTGCAGCTCTGCTCCCAGGTCTGGGGACGCGGCGTTCATTGCCAGTGAGTCACCGCAGCTGGACATCGTGAGTGTGGCTCCATCTATGGGAAGCAGTAAAATACTGCAATAACCCCAGAACTTCTCGAGCGAGTTGGTGTCCCCATCCTTTCGGCCCAAAAGATTGGGGGCAACCTTCAACTTTTCTTGGGAACCACAGCGCTTTTTGATCACGGCGCTTTTGAGTCAAGGAGTCTGTGAAGCGCCGTGCTCGCTATGGCGAAGGCTTTCCTACCTGCATGGACAACCTGGAAGCCAGGGCCTTAAGTTAATAATTTATGTCTTCTTTGACAGAAGACACTGCAATTATTACAGTTGAACTCTGATACCATTCCACACACTTTTTTACATGCACTTACCACTTCCTCAAACATTTTTTTTTTTAACCAGAAATTCTTGTGTTTACCATTTGCCAGAAAGAAAAGGATCTTTCCTTTCGAATCTTCCAAAAATTTCCCTCCCTTTCCTATATGTTACTATTTCTCTGAGCATTTGACCACACCAAATCCTTTTTTTATTTTTATTTTGAAAAGGAGAAAGGCAGACATTAACAGACATACCTTGGTGTTTACCAAACTGAAACGGCTGACCCACTTCAAACAGAAAATCCTTACTGCGATAGAAGAAATGGTTGTCTGTAATGCTTTGAACATGGACATCAAACTACTTCTCTAAGAGGTTTATGTCCTCTCTTTTTTTCTCAAAATGCATTTGTACCACGGGAATTACAGGACAGCAATCAGCAATTGATGTGCAGGACGTGGAAAATGAGAATGACACCATGCGAAGAACATGATTCAGTAAAAAATGTGCGTGTGGCTGGCCTCTCTGAAGGCAAGGAATCATGTCAGATGTTTCCTCCCATCGCCTCTTATTCTTGCTTGTCAGGACGTGATTAAACACGACTGAGAACATACCATCCCCTCCTAGTTTTACAACACACAGCAGTGTAAACACAGCAGGACTCTGCTCTCCAGTAGGAGCCCAGTCTCCAGCCTCCACAGCCCACTCCTCCTCCTCTGCGCCCTAATACATGTACTTGAACTCCAGGACCTGCTTCTGCACCCTCCTCTTCCTCTCCCTGCCCATCCCTGCAGGCTCACCCTCCTCGTCAACCTCTGCCCAAGCAGCCTGAGAGAGAAACGTGGGCTCTGTAGGCTCTGGCAGCGAGGCCACGCAGAGATCTTCTGAGCTCCTGTGATCGAGTGACTGGCGGTACTGTCTGGCACACGAACTCATCTGGCCTTGATGCAGGCAATTCTGGCCCAGCAGAAGCTCTCTGTGTGCATCTCGCCAGAGCTGCTGGGGGAAAAACACCACAGAGGTGGCTTCCCTTGCAGCCCAGGTCAGTGTCTTGCAGGAGCCTGGCCATGGCGCCCGTTTTGTGGCCCATGCAAACCTCTGGAAAATTTGGGATCTGCTGAGCTGCTAAGATGCGTGTAACCACTCAGTAGTGAAGCTCACAGAACTCATTCATTGCAAAATTGGTTATGTATGTATTTTAAGCCTGGATCAGCTCGCTGTGCCCACCAGGATCTCTCCTATTTAATTTGTCCACCAGCACAAGGCGAGACAATAAATATTCTTAGGCACGTTCCGAGTTGTTGGGCCATTGAGGTTTCTTTAATAGCTTACGGTTTTACGCAGAGTCATCTTTAAATGGCTGAAGGCCATTCAGGCTTTAATGTTAAGCTGAGTGTTGAGCCATTTTAAGACCTTTATCTTTAGAAACACTCTTAGGGACACCTTTTAGCTTTGTTCTCTTTTGGTGCTTTTTTTTTTTTCCGCACTCCTTGTGCTTTTCTTTAAAGAGAAATGAAATCTAAATGCAAAACTCTCAGTGATGACTAAGACATCAAGCCTGGAAAATCAAAACATTTCTGTGCAAGACTCCGAGCCCAGTTGCTCAGGGTAGGCACCCAAAAGTATCTTGATTTTCTGATTCTGCAGCTGAGTTGAGAACTGCGCTAGGTTGGGTTCTGCTGCGTTCTGTTACACTTCACTGCTGTTTTCTTTGCTGAATGTAAACGTTCATCTAGCATTAAATCAAATGGGAGACATTTAATATACTTGATGTGCTTCCCTAACAAATAGCACAGACTGTTCTTACTCCTATGTTCATAAAATATGAATTTAGTTCATTCATTATGAATTTTAAGAAAACTGAAAGCTACCGAAAATAACAAACGGGCCTTCCAAACTAAAACGAAATACGGCTTACATGTAATACGCATCCTTCACTTTTGATTATTCCTGCTGAAAACAGTAAGCTTTTACGGGCAAGCATATTTCTTTCTGTTTTTCTCCACTGTCTATTTATCAAGGTCTGTAAATACCCTTGGAAATCTGCAGTAGTAGATCCTGAAAGCAATCAGTAGTATGCAGAGTAGGTAAATCAGCAGAGGCGTTAATAAAGTAATGAAACCTAATCGCAGAAATGAAGGGAACGATTTCCATCTTTTAAATGTTCATCTGCTTGAAGGAGGATATGGCTAGACGAGTAGCACTCTGGCTTGTGAATATGAAATCCTGGCATGGCTGTGAGCTCTGCCATCAATTTGTGGCACGCATTTGGGCACATCATTTCTCCCCGTGCTGTAAACAGACCCATTAACGTGGATCCTGAGCAAATGATTTGAAGAACAAGCAAGGCACCACTGTTGGTAACACAACCAGACAACCAGACTTTGTTATCTGCTAGGGGCATTTCTCTCAGCCCCCTGACGTGCTGTTCTTGGGGAACACAGGGGAGAAGGCAGGTAAATGTGCCTGGCTTGTCGTTCAACCTGGGGCTCCCAGAAACACCACCGCCCATGGGAACGGTGCACATTTTGGGCTCTCCTCTCTCGCCAAGCTGCCTCAGGAGGGCTAACCCTGCCAAGGAGCATGGCGAGGGGTTACGTGAGGGTGGAGATTTTTTCCTGCCTACTTCACGTGCATTGCTGTGTGGTTATATCATGGTTATATCGTGGTTATATCATGGTTATAGCATGGATATATCACGGATATATCATGGTTATATCATGGATATATCACGGTTATATCATGGATGTATCATGGATATATCACGGATATATCATGGTTATATCACGGATATATCACGGATATATCATGGTTATATCACGGATATATCACGGTTATATCACGGATATATCATGGTTATATCATGGATATATCACGGTTATATCACGGTTATATCATGGATATATCATGGATATATCACGGTTATATCATGGATATATCATGGATATATCACGGTTATATCATGGATATATCACGGATATATCATGGATATATCATGGTTATATCATGGATATATCACGGATATATCATGGATATATCACGGATATATCATGGTTATATCATGGATATATCACGGATATATCATGGTTATATCACGGATATATCACGGATATATCATGGATATATCACAGTTATATCATGGATATATCATGGATATATCACGGATATATCACGGTTATATCACGGATATATCACGGTTATATCGTGGTTATATCACGGTTATATCACGACCCCCCGTGCCTCTGCCTACTGGAGGGGACCACGAGGGGCTGCCTCGCCCCCACTGCCCCACTGCTGCACCCTCGGGGCGCGGAGGTGCCCCTCTTTTGTCCCCCCCCCCCATTTTTTTGTTCCCCGCTTGGCTCTGCCCCCATTTTGATCCCCCCTCCCCCCTCTCATGGCGGCGCTGTCCCTTTAAGAGCAGCCCCCTCCCTTCCCCACCGCGCCTCACCCTCCCCTCCCCAATGACATCACCCCCTCCTCCCCATTGGCCCTCACCCCTGTCACTCACCCCCTCCATCCCCGCCCCCTTCCCCTTCTCCCTGCCTCGGGCCCGTTAGCTTCCCCGGGTTCTCCCTTCTCATTGGTCTCCCGCCCTGTCGCTCACCCTCCCCTCTCCGCGCTGATTGGCGGAGGCGGGCGCAGGCCGGGCGGCGGGGGGCGGGCGCTTCCGCGGTTGCGAGGCGCCGGGCGGCGGCGCGAGGCCGGGCTGCCCGCGGGGGGGGGGCTCCGGCAGGGGCGGGCGGGGCCGGGCCGCGATGGAGCCGTGAGCGGTGAGTGCGGGGCCGCGGCACCGGGGGGCGGGGGGGGGGGAGCGAAGGGGACGCCTCACACCCCCCCAGCACCCCCAGCGGGGCAAAAAATGAATAATTGTAGGGTTTTGTGTTGGCTTTGCCCGGTTCGGGTGGGTTTCGCCCCGATTTTCACGCGCGGGGGCGGTGATGGGGGTGCCCCCCCCCCCCCCCTTCAAGCGGCTCACGGCCCCTGCCAGGCTGGGTTTTAGCCCAAAATAAAGGTGAGGGGCGGGGGGGTGCCGGGGGGGCGGCCCTTTGTATGGCCCCGCTCGCTGGGGGGACCCCGAGCCCCCTATAGGGCGCCCACCCCCCCTATAGGGCCCCCATCCCTCTATAGGGAGCCTACCCCCTCTATAGGGCCCCTATCACCTCTATAGGGCACCCACCCCTCTCCTATAGGGCATCCACCCCCTTTATAGGGCCCCCCAAGCCCTTATTGCTGCCCAGGTGCCCCCCTCTACTGGAACCCCCCCCCGCCCCAGCAGTGTCCCATGGGGTGGGGATGCCCCCAGTGGGTTGGGGTTTGGGGTCCTAGTAAGGGCTCTGTGCCATTTTGCTGTCCTGGCCACCCCCACAGCGCCAGGGGCTGGCTCCTGGAGGGGCACGGTCGCCTTCGCTGGGCGGTAAGTAGGTTTTGAGGTCTTAACGTGCTGCGGGGTGAGGCTGTAGCTGCTTGGCGGGGTCTGGGAAGCCGAAACGCAGCTTTGATTTCTTGGTAAGACCCGAAGACGCGGCTCTGAGCGTTCAGAGAACGTAAAACGTGGGTATTTGGGGCCAAACGTGTCCATCCAGTCGATTCTAGCTCAGGCCTTGAGCAAGCTCGGCTGCAATTCCCCCTTTAAATTTGCGTGTGACACGCAAGGTGAGCTAACCCGGCCTGAGTGCACTTACAGGACAGAGGCTTCCAGCACGTGTGTTGGTTTTACTGCCAGGTAAATGCACGCTTCCAACACCGATTTCACAGCGTACCTGGCTGCTCGCACAGAAAACATCAGCAGGTTTCAGGAAAGACACCGCCGAGATCCGTCCCGTAGCGCTGCCGGCTGTGCGGTGCCTTCGGGACTTCATCAGCCTTTCTAAAAATACTTTGGTTGCTTCTGGATAGGAAATGAGGGGGTACCCGTTCGTTGTCACTCGCTGCAGTCGTTAGAGCAGTGAGCTAATAGTTGTGATTAAATCGAGGCTAATAATAGATTTAAACATAAGGCTGTGATCCGAAGCTGACTGCGAGCTCCTTTTCTGTTCTTTAGATCTGGGCTTTCTTCTGAAGGGAGAGGGAGGCTCAGTAAATGCCGTAAGTTTTTCACAAGTGGGTGAATTTGCTCTCCCTAATCAGCAGACATTAACTTACCTCACTCATAATTTAGATCCCAAACGTGAATTGAGGAAAACAGAGTGAAATACTGCCAGGTGGGGCTCCTTGGGCACCGCACCGCTCCGTACGAAGCGTAAGTGGTGCTTTGTGGGCTGATTCCTGCAGCTGCAGAGGCAGCTTTCGTTTCCATTCAGCTGAGGCTGAAACGTCCCCGCTCTGATACGAGTGCGCGGGGAAAAGAAAACACCGACAACCAAACGCAAAAGTCCGTAGGCAGCAAGAGGATCACAAAATAAAACGCAAAGGGAGGGAGTGCAGAAGATGCTTTTACGTGGGGCTAAGAGGATATGGCAGCTGCCCAAAAGCACGCTCATAGAGTGCTAACTTTTCTTCCCCTTCAATATGAAATTAGGGGAAACTCTTGGGTTTGGGGAGAAACACTTGCTTGTGATGGTGAAGCAGCGTTGCTTTTTGTAGAGCCTTTCATCTTGGAATCTCCAGGTGAAATGTACCTTCGGGCAATCAAAATAGCCCGTAATTTAAGAAAAACAAAAAAAAGCCCTACTGGATTTCCTTCAACATGATTCCCCTGCTCTGTGGGATGTATGGTGGGGGGGGGGAAGAAGGGGACTGTTACTAGATACAGGGGAGGCTTGGAGCAAAAAGCTTTGGGTGTTAGAGTAAGAGCAGATCCGTTCCTGGCATGTGCCAGAACGTTATCACAAGATTAATTGTTGTGCTCATTCGCAATGTGCAGGGTTTTTACCCCAAAAGCACAATTGGTAGTAATTCCCGGTCTTCTGTCTTCACTGGGTACACTCAGCCGGCCTTCCTGTGCTCGGGATGACATAATCTGCCTGTCTCGTTATCTGTTTACTTCTGGTAACTCAGAGTTATGAGTAAGATCCCTTTTGAAGAGAACACTTAATTTCTTCTGCTTAAAAAGAGGTAAGGATTAGCGCATCCTCCTGCAGTTACGCAAGGCTGTGCCTTTAAAGAATTGTTATCAGCCGTGTCCTGAGGGTCAGTGTCTTTTTCCTGAGAAACTGTTGAAGAGGAAGCAGAAAAAAAGCAACTGTTCAGCAGTCTGAAACCGTCAAACACCTACTCTGGGAAAGCCAAATGTAATTATTTCCTGCTGGACACATTGCTGAGCTGAGACTGAAGGCAGAGGATGTGGTTACGCAGACGTTTCTTTTAGTATTGGGGCTGTCTCGAAGAGCTCGTATTCCCATCTGCTTTTTTCATTATTATTTTTTTCTATTGTGTGCTGTCACATCGGCAGGGACGGTGTCTGCGGGGTTGGGAACCTGATTTTTAATCTCTGTGCTTTCTGCTCTGCCCCCAGCCCCAAAATGAAAGCTAGGGGAGGGGAGAAGGAAGGCGTAAATGGAGCAGAGGGGAGGGAGCGCAGAAGCTGCTCGGTAAGTGCTGGGGCTGAAAGGAGCATTTTTTGGAGCCTAAAACTGCCCCTGTGAGTCCTCTTTTACGCACGTGCATCAGATGGATGCGATGGACGGGGCTGTGTCAATTCCCAGCCTCCGGTTCCTTTGTCAAACGCTCCCCGGGCGCTCCAGGGAGATAACGGGAGGTTGGTGTGTGCGTTTTACCTCCCCTCCTCCGAGTGCTTTATGGAGTGCAAACACGGCTGAGTGGCTCCTTCAGGGGAAGCGGATGGCATCGGGGGGAGGACGGTTTGCGTTCCCGGGTGTAGGTTTGTCACGGCGGGCGGTTGGGGCGCTGGGATGTTGAAGCGCAGCTCGTCCTTGTGGAGGGCAAACCGTGCGTGCAGCTTGCACAGGAGCCTGCCATCAATCTGATCCAGCGGTTGCAGACATTAAGAAACAATGCCGCTTGCCGGAGCTCAATTTTCTGCGAGCCTTTTCTGTTTCTGATCCTTATTTTCCATGCAGTTAAATCTGAGCTTGTCACCGTGCAAGGTGCTGCAGTTGTCTAAATGATGCTTTATGTTTAACGAGTCGAAGCGATGAATTCAGCTTCTGCGGCAGTCCTTGCCCCCTTCCTCTCTCCTTTTCTCTTGGCGGTGTGCAGTTTCTGGTGTGAAGAAGTATTTTGGATGTAGGCACGCTGCCACATTGATAGCATCTCCACATGAACGTGAAATTTAACGCACAGTCATGAGTCCTCTCAAATCTCACAAGCTGAAGGCTGAGCTTCTAATTGGGGGTTTCCTTTTGTGCCTTAACCTCGTGCCATCTCTTTGCCTTTGCTCTCCCACCACACACTAGCGTGTCAACTACTTCTACTTATCCTTCTTCATGAAGCTGTGCTCCTTCTTTCAGCTCCTTTTGGCCCTGCCCATCCAGAAAAGCAGGGTTTTTGTGGAGCACAAGGAGCGTGGTGGCTGCTGCTGCGTGCACCGGCACGTTATTTGCCAACAGCTGAGCGGCGGGGGCTGCCTCCCAGCAGGTTCCCAACTTAGGAAAGTAAGAATTTGCTTCTGGACACACAGGAACTGCTGCTGCTGTCGCCTGTGCTCGCCGTGGGTGCGTACCCAAACGTGTGTGTGTCACAGACAGGAGCCGCTGGCGTAAAGCAGTGCAGAAAATTCTTCATTTTCCTACCCTCCAGCGAGGCCAAGAGATGTGTGGAGTGCACCTTGTCTTCAGAGTCCCTTCATGGTAGGGAGATGCATTTCCTTGAGTTCTGCCCCGTCTGTGGCTAAGCGGAGATGCTCAGGGTATGTTTTCACTGCACAATTGATCCATGCAGTTGACACCCTGTTTAGCTTTACTCAAATGAGATCATCCTTTACACACAGCCATACCCATGTTATGATGAACTCATTCTTTCTGCAACTGTTTATAAGTGTGAAGGTACAGAGCCGAGCTAAATTCGGACGGGATTCACTTTCTGTCTCCTGCCGGGGAACTTTCCCTTCCTTTGTCAGGAAGCCGCTGGAGAAGCACTGAAGTGCCCTACTTGGATGATATCTTTAAAAAAATATATTATTTTTGGTTTTGTCCTCTCTTCTGATCTTGTAACAGTACAAGAAGTTTCCCAAGAAAATGTAATGGCAGCTTTTATTTTTATTTCTATTCCGTTGGGTAAGTTGGACTTAGTTTATTATGGTTTCAAACCTGTGAGAGAGGTTTCTCTGAGCAGACAGTAGGGCCAGGTTAATGTTAACCCTAACGTAACTCTAAAACCCTAACTTCTCTCTAAATTCTCCCTCTCCCACCCAGTCAGGCATGCTTTATGGCAACACCTCGAGCTTGACCCTTTTGAAAGCCTCCGTCTGAGAGGCAGCGTGGCTGCTAAAGACGTGCTGTGAGCTCTGCGCTGCCGTGTTCAGAGCAGGCTCGCGGATCGTGCCGGGGTGGCTGCGTGCTGTTCAGACGTGCTCCAGCTCCCCCAGTCACCAGCGAAGGCAATAAGCCATGGTAATCACTGGAATCGCAGCCATTTGGCTTGAACGTGTAAACACTGGCATGTAAACATTTCCATTGGATGGAGGAGTTTATCAGCGAGATGAGACTTCTGCATTTCTCAGAGATGACACTGTTTTTTCTTCCGAAAATCTAGGACGGTCGAATTTTCCTGCGTTGACTAGTCAGAGGAAGAAGGAGGACTGGAGGAGTGTTTTCATTGCGCTAGGAGCAAAGAACAGCTAAAGCAGCTTAACTGGGGAATTTTGCCAGAAAATACCTCAGTTATCAGGTTAATCTTTGCTCGCTGGCTGCAGTGGAGAAGGAGCAGTGAGGAGCTCACCTTGCCATTGCGGTTGTAAGGCGGTCTTGGGAAGTTTTGGTAAAGTTGGACGTGCTGATTTAAGCTGGATTGAAATTTCAGGGGATGACTGGATAAGGGTAACAACAGAGCAATTATACCTGCAGCATCTCTTACCTGAATGGCGCACACGTTAGAAAAAAAGATTGCTGACTGTCCGTGCCCGTGGCAAGCCAGTGTACAGCCCGAGTAGGGTTCTGATGACTAAACAGGCAATTGCGTGTTGCAATGCTTTAACCACCTGCTAGCATTGAGGAGGGACTTCCTTGACAAATAGAGCTGGAAGTTTTATAGTTGGCCTTTTATTGTCCAGGATATCTGGAATAAAACTACTTCCTAGTAGAGGAAGAAAGATGAATGTTGTGTGCTTGTGTGATACACAGTTAGGGACCAGCCAGCAGAAATCATCAAATGAAACCCATCTCTTAACTTGGCCACACCTTCACGTAGGAAAAGTCTTTTCAGGGTACCTGGGTCTCCATTAATAAATAAATAAACCCCATTCAAACCAAACAATACCAAAAACCTGGAGTAAAGATTTAATACATAGATGAATTTAACTCATGCACTTACAGTCTGTGATTAAAAAGAAATAAAAGCTGCCACACAAGCCAACATTCAGTATCTAAATTTTGATGCTATGTGCTTACTGCTGTCAGAAGAATGCTCCGGCAAAATTACATGAAAAAGCATTTTTCATCAGGCAGTTGTTTCCTATCCTTATAGAAGACTTCCCTTGACTTCTTGAGGTTTTAAAACCAAGGCATTTTTGTCCTTACTTTTTAGGAAATCTAAGATTTATTTGTATCAGTTTTGTAAATCCCTTCTCCTACAGATTGTTAATTGGATGAGGGTTGACCAAGCGGATGTGCAGTTAGTTACCTGTATCAGTGAGCTCCTTCAAATTTTGTGATGCTCTGACCTTCTGAGCATCTGTGGTCATTCTTTCCCCAGTCTAACTGGTGAAATTGGTCTCATCCCGTCAGATGTTGGTGTCATATTCAGCTCTTCCCTCACTTTCCTCACCCCAGCTATGTCAAGGCTTGTGTCCTAAGCCCGTTCATTCATTCTCAAGTTTGTATTTGGGGAGGTTCCTGGGTTTTGTTTGTTTTCTTACTGACAGGATGTCAGCATCCCGGCTGCACTTCTGTGTGCCCACAGAGTGCTGCTGGTGTCTTGGAGGCCCTGAAGTCTGAAAAACCCAGAGGGGAAAATGGAATGGAAATTCTGTATTAAAACCTCCACGTGATTTGTTCTTTGAATGTGGCCTGCAGAAGTAGAAGTATGACAGCTCCAAATCAACTTCCGACCCTTTATATTCCTGTTTGAGAGAGGTTTTCCAGAGCCTCTGAAGTAATTATTTTCTACACAACTACAGCTGTGCACGTCTGTTAAAACTGTATTGCAAAGAGAAATGGTTGTGTTACTCTGCACCTAGGGGTTTTTAAAGTGTGTGGGATGCTTCCCTCTCCCCACCTGCCTCCTATAGGATTCCCATTGCAGTCTTGGCAAATCAGTCTACTTTTTCTTTTTTTTTTTAACCTTTCCCTGTTTTTCTTTGGATGTAAAACATGGTTTAATAAACTAGTCATAACAGTCTCCAACTTCTAGCATCTAATGTTTAAGAATTATTTCAGTACAGGGATGGGAAGGTTGAGTGTATCGTTCGGTGAGTATTATGGCTTGGTAAATCTCAAACAATGCATTCTTCAGAACTGACAAGCCAATGGTCCTAAAGTAGAAGTTGTGCCCTGGAAGCAGCATGGGTATGTATATTCCAGCGTGGCAGCCTTTATTTTCAGTCCAACTTCCGCCGCGTGTGCCAAAGTAATTAAAGATAATGGAGAGAAAAAAAAAAAAAGAGGAAACCTAGGTGTAGGACTTGCTCCTTTACTCTTAAAGGAGAGAATGGGCTGTGGTGGTTGTTTTTTGAAGATCCCTGAGCATGTGTCCTGTTTTCCCTTTCAGTGACAGGGGAGAGAGCTGCTGGCATGGAAGTGAGCTGGGTTTGTCCGTGGGAGCTGTGAGTAAGGTATGTGTTGTGTTCTCTTTGCTACCTTCACTCTGCACCTTTTGTTTGTATGTGCTGAACTGAAAATCACTCATGGTCACTAAACACGAGGGTTAGCAGCAAACCGAAGGGAGTGCTTTGCAGTGGTGCTGGTAGGAGGTGTGACAGCAGTCGGGTAAGGACTTGGTAGTGTAGAGCATAAACGTACTCTTGTGCCCTTTCCATTATTGCCTAGCAATTAGTCAAGTTTATCACAAGCGAGCTTGTGCTGTGTTGCAAACTTTTCTCAGTGTTTTGCCTGCACGTTTTTTTATGGTACTTGTATAGCTAGCCTGATTTATTCGAGTATATAAAGGCAGACAATTGCAATTGTTTTACATACAGTAAAACTGTAATGTCTGCCAAGATGTAACTGAGATTAGCACGATACAGTAGTGCCCAAAAGAGAAGATGATATATTCAGACATTATTTGTAGTCCCAGCCTGAGTCTCACAGTAAATAATAGAAAAATGTTTTAATCTACTGCAGCACCAGAACTCAAGTCCTGTTTCAGCTGTCCTTCCTCTGCTGGCTCTTAGTATTGTTGCTTCAAAGAAAGAAAACGTTGGTCTGGTTTTTTCCATACTGGAGGTTGAGTTTGTTTTTCTTTGAATTGGCCAAGTACAGCAGCAGTAGCAGTATTCCCCATCACCATCACCCTGCCACGTTACCCACGTTCATTAGATTTATGTGTCAGGAAGCACCTCTTGAGTGCTAAATGCTTTTCAATAAACTGTTTAGCTTAGACAAGACAGTGGTATTGATACGTGCTCCCCTATGAATCACTGAAGAAAATTCTTATCTATTTTTCAGTAGTGGGGAATGCTAAGGGGTGGGAAGTCAGCTCTCACAGGGCAAAAAGGGAACAGAAGATCTGGTAACTCGGTCTCAATTGCTGGGCTTCCACTTAAACGGATGTCCTGCCACTTGCTGCATTGGGAGGTGCCAGTAAATTCAGAGAAATTTGGTTTCCACACCCGGTGTCTATTGATGGGGAGGAGAAACAAAGTCAATTCAGATTGGTCTAAGTTTTGTAGACAGCCTCATACTGTCATGACTAAAGAATGTGGCTGGGATCAGAAAACTTGCAGTCTCCGTTTCAAGCTTTGGTTTCACACTAGGCTTAACATGGGGTAACTGAAAGCTGTCACTTTTCAGTGGGCCCCATTCCTCTGTTTTTTTGTTGTTTTTTTTTTTGGTACCTTGTCTAATGAATCTGTAGTTGTAGGTTTGGGATAGTTAGTATGGTGGACAGCAAGCATTTTTCAAGGTGTAGCTTTCCATCAAGAAACAGTGTGCTGAGCTGACTTGCTCTGTGGCTGCAGTCACTGGATTTGAAGCCCAGAAGGTGGGAATTTAATTTAAAACTGAGGTGAGAGCAGAGAATGGAGGTCCATATATATAGATATAGATATATTCTGAATCATAACCTATGATCACGCTGCATTAGGCAAAATGTAAAACCACCCCTTTACTCACAAAAGTGAGATGCTAAAAAAAGATCTAACCATAAACTCCTTCAGATAGTTTTAAGTTCCGCAGTTGTCTGCTGCTTTGTGCTGAGATGAATACTTGTGCTGTGACACCATTCTTTTCCTTTTTTTTTTCCCTTAAAATTTTTAAAGGCTACATTAGTTCCCTGAGTTGTCACCTTCCTAGCCCAAGTCACTGCTCTGCTATGCCCTAGATCTGTGAGTCCCTGTCCCAAAGTTCAAATCTTCTGGTTGAAAGCATATTGTTTCTTGGGAAGTTTTTATTTCTACTCTCCTCTTGTCCAAGGACTTTTTCTTCCAGATCTGCCCTTCAATGTGAACTCCTTCGTTCTTCCTCATCCCCTCAGCTTTCCTGCCATGAATTCCTGAGCTGAAGCTCACATCTGGCTGCAGACCATCAGCATTCCCTTTTCTAGTTTGCTGCAGCCTCCTTGCTGCCATTGATTGTTGGCATCTGTTGCCACATGCCTTTAGTGCTGGCTGGATCGAATCCATTGCTTCATCTGCTTGCCCCTTTGGGGGGGGAAGGAATGCTTTGCCTCCTACATGCAGGAAACTTTAAAAAATGCACCAGATGACAATTGCAAGGAAGTCGGACAGAAGGTGGTGAAAAACAGGCATAGAGCAATCCTGTTCTGAATACACTATAGTTCATCATGCATTTCTTTGGCACCCGTGCAAGCTTTAAACAGCTTGCTCCCTCTGTTGTGCTGGCATAGGTTTTTTTGTGGCCATGGTGAGCCACTCTGGGGAACAGATCCTCCTGGAAAGAAGCGGTTTTTGCTCGATTATTTTTCATCTGGTCCAGTACATGTTGTCTCCGTAAGATTTATGCTCGTTTCACAATGAGGAAGGTATGAGAGTGGGAATGTGTAGCAGACTGCTTAAGTTGGCACTGCTGCTGGATGTTTAAGTGTGCTCTTTGACATTACAGTTCAGCTGATCTTTCAGCGAGCTGCTGTTGCAAAGGCTGGTCAAACCTCCAGGCAGCTGTGCTCCCCGGCTTTTTCCTTTGCATCAGAGCTGGTGATTGTGCAGCCAAAGGGCAAATCCATGGAGCTGACTGATTCTTGCACAAAATGGCTTCCAATTTTTTGCAGAGTTAGTTGTCTGACCTGCGCCTCTCCGTCTAATCTTTTGTACACCCTCAAAAGAGAAGCAGCAGAATAGCTCAGGAGGAGGAGGCTGGGTTCTCCTTTGAGCTATAAAGTTGAGCTGTATCACGTCAAAGGCCTAAAATATACCGGTATACCCACAGACCCAGGAGAACTGAACATTGTGTCTTTTTTGCTCCTTTTTGTTCTTTGAACTTCAGTGAAAATTGTTATTTCTTCAGCAGCTATCTTTAATCTCCCCAGCTAGGCGATTAATTCAACGCACCGTGAGGTAGGATAGAATTATGTGCCTGTAGAGTATTTCTCTGGTTCAGGGCTCGTTGTCCCTTGAAATTAGAATTGCCTTGTTCATGCTTTGGGCTTAAGAACTTCAGAAATAGGTGGGGAATTCACTTTTTTTTGGAGCAAGGGTTGTTTATTGTAAACAATCATAAATATCATTATAAATATCACGGTGATTCTCAGAACTAGCTCTGATATTATCTGTTCCTTTGTGTACCCAGAGTTTCATGAGCTTGAAAGCCACAAAGTTCCTCCAAATGTACATTGAATCATGACAAGTATTTCTTAAATATCTGGAATGCAAAACTACATTTCTTGGCCTGCAAGTTGTGGTTTTAAGAAATGGATATTTTAGAAAGATTGTTCAAAACCTCTCAAAGGCTTTCTATCACTTCTGGCCCGAGTAAAATGACTGCTAGTATCTCATGAAGAAAAAACTCACGGCATGAGAAATATGGCTCTTGATGAGTGGTCTTTAAAGTCATGTGGGAGGCTGTATTTGTCTACGTGGACTTCTCAACAGCAGAAATTAATGGTGTTGAGTGCTTTGCTTTAGTTGTGTTCTTTGGAACTTTTCCCCCTCAAGTCCTAACATCTCTATACAGATGCTCATGCCTTTTGTCTGATAAGATTTCGTGTTGTTTTCTTGCTGGCCCGAGCATGCCTGCTGCCTCTTGTGCTGATGGATTTGCTGGAGGCGGTAGCTCCTGGGGATGCTTCAGAGATGGCAGCACTTACTGGCAGGGTACTGCACTGAGCACACACAGATCAGATTCTCTGGCTCAGGAATTTGCACCTATCTGTTTCTTACCAGCATCTTGGTTCGAGTGTTGCAAACATTGGATTTTTAGAAGAGATGTTGTAGGATAGTAACTTGCAGTAATGGTAAACTGGACAGTTCACGCGTTCAAATCACTGCTTCTAATCCAGAAGAAATTTATTTATTTTGCCTGTTGTTGCCTCCCCCCATCCCAATTACTGTGAAAGTGCAGTAAGCTGCCTGATCCATTTTGCAGAAGGCAAATTATGTGCAGCATATGCATTGAAACAAAACACCATAATGTAAGATCAGCTCTCTTCAGTGGTCTGTGCAGTTTTGCTCCTTAACTCAAGGTTCCTGAGGAGCACACTGATGCATTGTCTGGTACAGTCTTTGTGACACTGGCATTGTTGTTTACTGTGCTGCATAGACTTCGGGGACAGAGCCATCAGTTCATCTCTGGGTTAAGTGGAGGAGTAATTCTGCCAATATTTGTTGCACAGTTTCAGCTTACAGACAGGAAGCTATTTTTTTTTATACAACCTTTAAGTTTCTCCTGATGGTGACTTTTCTTTGATATCTAAAGAGAAAAAGAATACCTAACTGTGGTTTCACTCTGATCCTTACAACCTCTCAAGCTAATGTGATGCTGCCACTTCCATCTGCTGCAAGCCTGAGTTGTCCTGAGCTTTTCTTTTGATTTGTGATGACCTGGGGGGAAACGGTTTCCTTTGGGCATGACATACCATTGTCTTCCTCTCTTCCCATTCATTTCAAAGACGATCCACTTAAAGCCACTTCGCCCCAGATTGCCTCTTCTGTTGGCCAGAGGACCTCAGCTGGCATGGTTATTTAGCAGAAGGGTGCTCTTAAATTTAGAGTAGAAAAACCTGTCTGCTGGAAATAGCACAGCTGCACTCACGGGCTGTTGCTGGTAACTGCTGGAGGTTGCCAAGCAATTCTTAAATTGGTAGGAAATTGGCATTACCCTGGCAACCTGGCCCCCAAAATGCAAACAAGGGAAAGCTGTTTAGAGAGGTGTCCTTGCTTGATTTGGGAATTTTGACGTGCATTTTCCTCTTTTTCTGTGCCTCTTTGATTTTTACTTTTTTTTTAATTCCTTTTTAAGAGGTTTTACTCTGATAATTGAGGCTTGATATTAGGGAAGATGGTACTGTTCTTTGGTTCATTGAAATACCCAGGAACAAAAGCTTAATTATACCACGATTGTGTGAATATTGATATGATCAAGCAAAATTTAGTGCAGGAAGACCTAGAACATGTGTCAATGTCCAACACGAATGCTGGATAGGTAAACCATATACCAACAC